ATAACCCGACATATACAACACAACCCTTAAATGCCAACTCTTTAATACACCAACCCTTAAATACGGCAACCTTTAAGCACCAACACTTAAATGCCAACCCTTGAATGCCATCCCCGAAACACTAACCCTTTAACACAAACCCTTAAACACCAACCCTTTAACACAAACCCTTAAACACCAACCCTTAAACACCAACCCTTAAACGCCGATCCTTAAACGTCAACCATTAAACACAAACCCTTAAACACCAAATCTTAAACGCGGTATAGCCCTGTGAGCCATTCGGCTCTTGAATCGGGTGCAACCGCAACAAACAAAAACATGAACAAGAAAACATCTTAAAGTGACTATGTGCAAATAGAAAATCCAAAAAAAGACAGAAAAATATTGCATAAAAAGCACCGTACACCAACACTGTGTGCAAAAATCCCAGTGGGATGCAAGTTAAACAACAACAACCACAAGACAACTTAGATTAAGGCCATTAGTCTAACTCTGTACTACAACAAACAAACATGGACAAACCAAAAAACTTTTCGAAAATCACCAAAATAAAGCCATAAAAGCAATGAAACAGTGATCATAGGAACTGTGACCGAATTTTCACAATAAACTATGTAAACAACATGTACTACCAAACTCTGCAGCCATAGCTGGCTGCATGAGTCACTCCACAACAGCAGAAGTATCAGTCGGAGTATCAACATTTTTCAATGCACCTTTAAGATCAGCACACTAAATCAAAACACAGATCATACTTTGCAGCGATCATCCGGAGCGAAACATTGTATTTTAGGCCACTGAATTGCAGTGGCAGCTAGGGGTGTACAACTCCTCTAGAGCAGTTTTGAATGAAGATCTCATAGGTAGTGATTCAAGTTGCAGTTTATTGGCAATAGCATTCCAGACTCTGGGGGCATCAATAGCAAAGGCCCTTCCTCCAGTATTTGTACGGCAATAGGGAATGTGAAGCTGGTAAATGAGCGAAGATCTTAGGTCAAATTTGTTCTTTGAAACAAAGAGGAGATCCAGCAGGTAATCTGCGGATTTTTTTGTAAGTACATCATGAATAAATAAGATCTGATGCACAAGCCGTCGAACATTGAGAGATGTTAAGTTTGACCCAATGTAGAGATCACAGTGGTGAGTCCTATATGGGCAGTTCAATGCAAATCTTGAGGCCGAGTGATACTTTGAGTAAAAACCAACCCTTAAACACCAACCCTTAAACGCCAACCCTTAAACGCCAAACATTAAACACAAACCATTAAACACCAACCCTTGAACGCCAACCATTAAACGCCAACCTTTATAAAAAAAACACCCTTAAACGCCAACCCCTTCAACGCCAAACCTTAAACGCCAACCCTTAAATATCAACCCTTAAATATCAACCCTTAAACGGCAACCTTTAAGCACCAACGCTTGAACACCAACCCTTCAACACCAACCCTTAAACGCCAACCCCTTTAACGCCAACCCCTTCAACGCCAAACCTTAAATATCAACCCTTAAACGGCAACCTTTAAGCACCAACGCGTAAATGCCAGCCCCTTAACGCCAACCCTTTAAACACCAACCCTTAAACACCAACCCTTAAACACCAACCCTTAAACGCCAACCCATAAACATCAACCATTAAACACAAGCCCTTAAACACCAACCCTTAAACGCCAAACATTAAACACAAACCATTAAACGCCAACCCTTAAACACAACCCTAAAACGCCAACCGTATACACCAAAACTTAAACACCAATCCCAAAACACCAACCATTAAACGCTAACATTGATACACCAACCATAAAACACCAACCCTTCAACACTAACCCTTAAACACCAAAACCTTGAAAACCAACCCTTAAACGCCAACCCTTAAAAGCCAATCCTTAAATGCTAACCCTTATACAGCCAACCCTTAAACACCAAACCTGAAACAACCAACCCTTAAACACCAACCCTTAAACACCAACCCTTAAACGCCAAACATTAAACACAACCCATTAAACACCAACCCTTGAACGCCAACCATTAAACACCAACCTTTATAAAAAAAAAACACCCTTAAACACCAACCCCTTCAACACCAAACCTTAAACACCAAACCTTAAACGCCAACCCTTAAATATCAACCCTTAAATATCAACCCTTAAACGGCAACCGTTAAGCACCAACGCTTGAACACCAACCCTTAAACACCAACCCTTAAAAGCCAACCCCTTCAACGCTAACCCCTTCAACGCCAAACCTTAAACGCCAAACCTTAAATATCAACCCTTAAACGGCAACCTTTAAGCACCAACGAGTAAACGCCAGCCCCTTAACGCCAACCCTTTAGACACCAACCCTTAAACGCCAACCCATAAACATCAACCATTAAACACAAGCCCTTAAACACCAACCCTTAAACGCCAAACATTAAACACAAACCATTAAACGGCAACCCTTAAACACAACCCTAAAACGCCAACCTTATACGCCAAAACTTAAACACCAATCCCAAAACACCAACCATTAAACGCTAACACTGATACACCAACCACAAAACACCAACCCTTCAACACTAACCCTTAAACACCAAAACCTTGAAAACCAACCCTTAAACGCCAACCCTTAAATGCTAACCCTTAAACACCAACCCTTAAACACCAACACTGAAACAACCAACCCTTAATCGCCAACCCTTAAAGGCCAACCTTTAAACGCCATCCCTCATATTCCATGCGTTAAATACCAACACAAACTCGAACACTTGAACGATAAACTTAAACGCCAACCATCAAAACGCCAACCTTTAAACGCCAAGCCTTAAACACAACCCTTAAACGCCAACCTTATACGCCAAAACTTAAACACCAACCCTTAAACACCAAACCTTGAACACCAAACCTTCAACACCAACCCCTTAAACACCAAACCTTGAACACCAAGCCTTAAACGCCAACCCTTAAACAATAACCCTGTGTCCTCATTTTTGGGCAACCCTGTCTAATAACCCTGTGTCCTGACTTTTTTGAACCACCCTGATTAAAAATAACCCAACGTGTCTTGAGTTTTGGACCATCCCATACAAAAGTAACCCGATGTGTTCTGACATTTGGGCCACCTTGTACAAAAATATCTCTGATTTACTTTTGGGCCAACCTGTACAATTAACCCTGTGTCCTGAATTTTGGGCCACTCTGTATAATAACCCTGTGTCCTGACGTTTGGACCACCCTGTATAAAAAATAAGCCAACGTGTCTTGACTTTTGAGCCAACCCATACAAAAATAACCCGATGTTTCCTGACTTTTGGGCCACACAGTAAAAAAATAACCCGATGTGTCTTGAATATTGGGCCACATTATCCAATAATAACCCAATGTGTCCTGACTTTTGGACCACCCTGTATAAAAATAACTTCACATGTCCTCATTTTTGGGCTACCCTGTACGATAATAACCCTATGTGTCCTGACTTTTGGGCAAGCCTGTACAATAACCCTATGTCCTGACTTTTGGGCCAGCCTATACAATAACCCTGTGTCCTGACTTTTGGGCCACCCAGATGATTGGGGCATCAACTCTGATTTAATTACATTTAATTTGTATCCCGAAGCACCCTCCATATTCCGTCACTAAGGCCAGAACGGCCTACGCTGCCTGGAACCCACCTGCCACCTCCCACCTTCCCGGAGCTCTGGAGCCCAGGAAGCCTCCAGAGAAAGATGCTGAAACAAAGCGCTGGTGCGTTCACGGAGGATCGCAGCTTCCTGGGTCCGCGCTGCCAGGGTCACCTTGTAGGGGAAGTGTGGCCACCGAATGGAGAACTTGGAAACTGGTCAGACGTTCCACGAGAGGAGGCGAGTCACGTCTGAATACCCACGGGACGGAGGAGAGCACCGGGTTAGATGAAACGGGGGCTTCCATGCAAAAGAATCGACGAGAACAAATAAAAAACAAGGAAAGAATCGATCGAGCGTGTTGTGAGCATTGATAGACAGTGGAGAAATATCAAGAGGCGTGAGAATGGAGGGTTGCTTGCTACAAGGGGTAGAAAGCGGTCCCTTCATCGCTCATTCTCTTGTGATTAGACTGCTCTTTCTCTCCATCGCGACGCTCAATGTTTACTTTCAGCTGGAACGCTTCGGATCGCTGCACTGGAAAAATTTTTGCCACGCCACATCCATCTCTCTTTATTTCGTCCTCATAATTTTGCATAAATCTGTTTATAAACTTATAAGATAAGATCATGAGGACAATATTGAGACATTATGGATAGGCATACCTTACGCTCTAGTGGTAGTGCCTTACGCCGATATTTCCCACTCCGAGCCAGCCTATAGTAGCATCCTGGGGGGAATGTAGAGCGAGGAATGTAAAGCCCTCCATCTACAAATGTGCAAAACGTCTCGAGGCTGTGAAATGGAGAATTGGGGGGCGTGCCTAGCAGTTTAAAAGATACCCCCCCCCCCCATCAGAAACCTCTTCCCTGCAGCTGCCCCATGACAGTGTTCTGGTGAGCGAGTGGATGACTTGAGCACCTGCCAGCAAGGGGATTCAGAGAAGCGTCATGGCAAATGTAAGAAGGGAGGACATGCGCGTGTGCCAACACTTGTTTTGCACAGTACAAGTACATGGTGCAATATTTGCGTTTGGGAAGCGGTGACGCAGTGCTTAGTGCATCACGCTACGAACCTGGCGACCCGAGTTCGATTCCCATCCACGGCACGCATCAGTGGCGAGCGACATTTGGACCGATCCCCCAGCACCCATGCTTTGCTAACTCGCACTCACCAGCATGGTGAAATATGGTCAAATGTGCTGAGAATGACTGGAATGGATTTTATTTTTGACGAATGTTGCAAAATCCTGCATTCGGGGAGCGGCGGTGCAGTGATTCGTGGTCTCAAGCTGCATCTCCAAGAGGGTCCTGAGGGCGAGGGCAGGAGCTGAATTGGTCGTCGTGTGTGGCAGGAAACTAGAGTGCCCGAAGAAAGTCTACGCATATGCAGGGGATAACACTCAAGGAACTCATTTTATTTTTCTGTTTATGACAGACATTCCCAAAGACCTAAACACACAAAACAGCCAGCAAAATACATGACTATTAAATGTGTCACTGATAAGAGTTAATAGGTGTCTTGAATAGAGCACGTTTATAGAAATATTGGAAATACGGGGGTAATGTTACCGTGTATCTGTGCGTATATTGTGGCGTTCCAAATTTTAATCAGGATTAACCTGTGGATGTGTAAGGAAATTCCACTTCAGCCTTTGCAGTCTGTCGCGAGAATGATAAAGTGCAACACGTGACACCCAAGTGTTCACCGAAAGCTGGTAACGAGACAATGACATAGACACAAATCTGCAGCCTTCTCAAGTGATATCATTTTGCTGAGTTCATTCCGAGCCTACGTCGCTCCCCCATTGGTTGTGTAAACACAGCGGCGTCTCCCAAGAACTTTTAAACAACCCGCCGAGCCCTCCCAGCCACCTAGGGAGAGACGACGCTACCGTCGTATTCCGAACGAGCCTGGCGGCACACGGCTTAGCGACGCGAGCCTTCGATTGACAATGGGGCGCAGGAGCTCACTCAGCGGACTCCCTCGCGGCATCGCAACGATGACTACAGCCTTAACTTTGGAGCTTTCGTGACTGCAGGAATTATTCTTTGGTTCTTTCGGTAAAGTCACGTATAAAGAAAAAATAATAAATTAAATAATAACATACGACGTTTCGATTGCAACACAAGCAATCATGTGTGTTTCTCTGTGTCGGTTTACATAACATTTCGATACTTTGCTAGGTTATTTAATTTTAGTGTGTCTCTTTCTCCCCCTAAGCCTGCTCACTCCTTTTGTTGTACTCATTGACATGTAAATTTTGTTTCTAACCCCTCCCTCTTGCTGCCTCCGCCCCCCTCTGTCTATTTAAGGCCACCCCACAGAGACGATCACTCCTCTCTGTACCTGTGTTGCTCGCTGTGTGTATCTTGGTGATATCTGTCTGCTTATATGTCTGTCTATAATTTTTTCTGGTTAGATTTTATGTCGCTATTTCATTATACCTGATGATGATTGCTTGTGTTGCAATCGAAACGTCGTATGTTATTATTTAATTTATTATTTTTTCTTTATACGTGACTTTACCGAAAGAACCAAAGAATGATGACTACAGCCTCACGCTAAACAAGCGCAGAACCTGCAGATCGCTGTGACATGGAAAGCACGGTTCATCGTAAAGACGAAACCGTGGGAGCGCAGCGTGCGTTGTGCACATTTTCCTTGGATTAGCCCTCGTTAACAGGAGAACATAATTACGTGTAATGCACGTACAGGAAAATATACGTCCATGTCACTCGACCACTTTGAGCATTGTGTTTAAGGAACTACCCTCCTTGCGGTGTGTATTAATTTAGAAACATGTCAGGATAGTTTTTCAACTGGTTTTATGTACGAGTGGTTTTAGTCAAATCCATTAGCGTTAAACTAGTTTCCACCACGAGCAGCTTCCATTTGGTAAAGATGAGTGTACAGACACTCCTGAGTTTAAATACATTTATGGCAAAGTAATGGCAGTGCTGCCTAAACGCGGAACAAAAACACAACATTAACTTATAACACCGACTCCTCCTTCAGTGGGGATAGCCTGGTGGGACAGTCGGTATGTGGATTATTCGGTCAGCTGGTCTTTAGTCTGAGCTTAGGTGACAAGGTTATAGGGTTATTTGGTGGATCAGTATGTTGGCAGTTAGAGTGTTTATTGGATCAGTAAGTCAGCTGGTGATCCGGTGGATTGGCTTGTAGTCAAATGGATCGATTGATGGGTTAGAGTTTCACCAAGTCGGTGTATTGTATTGGCCTCGGTGTCTTATAGTCAGAGGGTGGGCAAGTCGGGTGTCGGGTTCATATATATTGTCGCTTTGCGAAAGCGTTTTATTGGGTCATAGGATGGGGTGGCGAGTTATCGGTCTGTAAGTTATTTGGTCAGTGGGTCAGGATGATGCGTGTTGGGTCATTTACTCGGTGTGGGCACCCGTAGGCTGGCGGTCGGTCAGGGGTCGTCCGTCGAGTCGGTGGTTCGGCGGTTCGGCGGCCGCGACGTCATCCAGCCGTCCGTGCGAGCGTGGGTCTCGGCACTCCTCCGAGAGCAGCACGTGAACATGGAGCAGCTCGTCGGCGAGACGGATCTTCTCCTGCTCGTAACTCTGTACCAGCCGCCTGCCGGAATTGACCAGAGCCTCGGCTCGCACAACCATCTCCTCCTCGTAGCGCTCACTCAAGCTGCGGAGAGACGCCAGCGCCAGCGTTACGAGCGTGGCGGCACCAGCAGCACCCCGAGCCGAGTGGAGCCTGCACTCTACACGCACTTGGGCCGAACGGACCATGGCCCTGACTTTAATAAACAACACAAAACTAGCTCCGACCCTAACCACACGATCGTTAATCACACCACGCGATACGCACCTGATAAAAGCGCCAAGTTGCGCGCGTGAGAAATTATTTCCAATCGTTTTTTTTTACATTTAGGCCCATGGTGGCGATGGTCAATAAGACACCGGGGCTAACAGAGCACACAAATTGAGAAACGATACGAATGATAACGAGGCCATACAAACTATCTGGTCCGGAATCAAATAGTGGCCTCGCATTGAGAGTAGTTGAGTTGTTGGAGAGGGAGTGGGGTGGAATGCTGGGCCCTCATGAGCACCACGTGAAGCCGAGAGCAGAATAAAAGCGCGATACTGCCGTCGGTAGCATCAGCGCAACTGGCTTCACGACCAAGACCGCACCTCATGCGCTGCTTCCACTCGCTCAAGAGGATGCTGAGCGTTTCTTGACAGTCTAATTGGGGACAAGGAAAACACAAGGGTTGTCAGACGTTGCTCCACTCGGAATGAGGAAACTGAGAAGTTATGGGAGTGGAGTGGAGGGGGAGGGCATTCGTTACCAAAGAAGACGTCGCCGATAGGTTCCACGTCCTCATTGGGGTTCCCTTCCGGCTCTCCGTGCGCAACCGCAAGGCTGAGCTCACCCGAGTCCTGGGCCGTGCCACCCGCGCTCTGTGGTGGCGACGTGTGGGCAGGGAGGCACGTCACTCAAACGATCGCTTGGTCACCAACTCAAGAGGACAGAGATTCCTCCTATCACCTCAAGAGACTGCTGGGGCAAATGCTGCGAGCGAACATCTGTTAAGGCCGGGACGGCACACGAGGGGGTGATGTGGCCAGCACTTCCCTGATCGCCTTTGTCTCTCCGGGGTTGATGTTTACACACCGCACCTGGTACTCATTTAAGGCTGAGTCGGCCAAGGGAAGGCCCAAGACCGGTTCATATAACCGTTGTTGGTGTTGACCATGAGCGGAAATCGAACTCGGGTCGCTAGGTTTGTAGCGCAGTGCTCTGCAATGCTGGTCTCCACTCTTACATGTGTAATAAAAGACTCGGACGCTTCTCTCTGACTCCGTGTCCTTTATTTGGGTTCTTCGTAATTACCCTCACGGCACTCTCTTAGAGATACTCTGCTTGCAGCCCCCGGCTGCTATCACTATTGTAGCCTCCTTCCTCTCCTTGCAGACTCGCTGCTAACTCCGTGTGCAGACTCCCGCTGCCAACTCCGTATGCAGACCCCCGCTGCCAACTCCGTGTGCAGACTCCCGCTGCCAACTCCGTGTGCAGACCCCCCGCTGCCACCTGCAGCCTCCTCGCTGCTCCGGGTCGGTCACCGTTGGCCGACGGTGCCGAACCTCGCTCCCCGCATACGTGGCGATCTCGCCACTCTCCCGCTCTCGCCCTACGTGGCCTACCTCGTTCTTAGTCTCCCGTCACTCCCCCTCCTCTTCCGGTTTCTCTCCCTATAGACCTGACCCCTCTCCCCCACGTGACCTAACTCCTCCCCTCATGACGTCACCTCCGGGAGGTTGTTCACGCCCGCATTACATCACCCTCCCCCGTAGAGAAAATCCAGCCGACCTCGGCTGAACAACAACCTAACAAGTAATGCGAGCGTAAAAGACCAATACATTAAAGGACACGAAGCATACAACAACAATATAACAAGAACACAACACAAGTTAACGAAATGTGAGGGATTTCGAGCGAGTACGGGTAGCCGGACCGTCCCGGACGGTCGGCGGCCCTCCCGCCGAGCGGGAGCGTGGCAGGGTTTTAAGGGCGACAGGAGCAAGTTCGTCCGTCGCCATTGGAGGCCTGCCACCGTCCCGGTCCCGTTCAGAGGCGTCCCGTAATCTCGTCCGTGGCGGGGCAGGAAGGGCTGCAGGTCCCGGAGATTCCGCGGCCCCGGTCGGCACCCCGCGAGCGGAGCGTCCTCCCTCCTGCGGCGTCACGGCCGGCTTGTCTGTAAGGGGTACGACAGGCGCTCTTGCAAGGTCAGCAGGCACAGGCAGGGGCGAGTTGGCAGCAACAGACCCCGGCAAGGCAACCTCAGGAGATGACGCATCAGGTCGCGGGGCAACGTACGGCTTCAACCGAGATGTATGTACGAACCAGCGTCGCGAACCAACCCGAACACGCGCCGACTGTGGGTTGGGAACCTCAATGAGGCGGACCAGTCCTTGCCATGGTTTATGTAATTTAGGAGAGGTACCTGGCCGCACCTGTGGGCAATGAAGCCAGGCCAGGTCCCCCGTTTTCCAGGGGCACTCCCCCTTTGAACGTCGAGCACACCGCTCGTTCCGGGCCTGGGCTTTGGCCATAGCCACGCGGGCTCCTTCCCTCGCCTCAGTGACACGGCGAACGTTATCCCGAATATAATCAGGAAGAGGTTTAGCAGGTCCCCTCGCTCCGGTTCCCAACTGCTCATTAATCGGCGGCACGTTTTCACGGCCGTACATGAGAAAGAACGGCGAGTATCCAGTAGCCGCGTGCGGCGTCATGCGATACGCCGAAAGCACCCCAGGGATATGCAAATCCCAATCTGATTGTTTTTCACTGACCGTATGGCACAGCATGGCGGACAGGGTCCGATTTAACCGTTCCACCATACCATCCGTTTGTGGGTGGTAGGGGGATGTCCGTATCTTTTTAGTTCCAAGAGCCGCACACACCTCCCCCAACAATTTAGACGAAAAATTCCGGCCTTGGTCTGTAAGGAGCCTCTCTGGCGCCCCCTTGTCCATAACATACCCAAATAGAAATGCGTCTGTGATAGATGCCGCTGACTGGTCTGGCAAAGGCCAGGCCATCGGCCAGCGGGAGAGGTACTCCACACCCACTAGCTAATACTTATTTCCCCTAGCGGATGGCGGAAAGGGTCCCAAAATATCTAACGCCACCAATTCATTAACCCGAGATACCTGAATAGATTGTATCGGCGGCACATATGGATGTTTAGGTGGCTTCCGGCGGGCACAATCGGGACACGCGCGAACGTGACCGACGACATCTGTCGACATGCCGTGCCAATAATAGTCTCGCTGCAGCGTCAATAGGGTCTTCTGCACCCCCAGATGTAAAAATGTGTCACAATGCAGAGTCCTAATCAATTCGTACCGCAATGATGCCGGTACAACCAGACGCCAGCGTTCCTGTATCCCTTCCCTCCACATCAGCAACCCATCTCGGAGAGCGGATTCCGGCGCACCACCCGCGCCGAGTCCCCTACTCGCCTTTTCCGATCGCTTTCGTAACGTTACCAAGGAATCATCCAACATTTGCTCCTGAATCCACACAGACCTCGGGAGACGCAAAATCCCATCAGCCGGTCCCCCATCAACTGGTCCCGGCTTAAGCGGAGCTTCAGGCACATCAACCGCCAGCGCGACAGGCTGAGGGGGTGCTGAATCAGTCCACACCTATGCGTCCCCGACGCACACGCGCAAGGGGATCGCTGCGGCAACCTGGAAAGCGCGTCCGCATTAGCGTGACGCACACCCTTCCGATGTTGAATTTGGAAGGAAAATTCTTGCAGCGTGTCCAGCCACCTTGCCAATTGGCCGGACGGCTGGTCCATCTTAAGAGCATACTGCAAGGCCGCATGGTCCGTGCGGACAATAAACGACCGACCGTACAGATACGGTCGAAATTGGCGGAGAAAAAAAACAATAGCCAAAAGTTCCCTGCGAGTGACGCAGTAGCGGGTTTCCGCGGGAGACAAAACCCGACTACCATACGCCACTACGCGTTCAACTCCACCTTTAGACTGAGACAACACCGCCCCAATGCCAGTGTCACTCGCATCCGTATCCAGAATGAAGGGATGTTCAAAATCCGGATAATCCAACGTCGGTGCCGTAGCCAATAGATCACGCAGGCTTCGAAACGCCGCCTCCTCCGGCGGTCCCCAAACAAATTTGTGTCCTTTCCCCGTAAGGAGATGCAAAGGCCTCGCAATCGTAGCAAAATTTGGAACAAACTTCCGATAATAAGAGGCGAACCCCAAAAACCGGCGCACATCATCCACCGTGGCCGGGGTTGGCCAATCACGGACACACGCAGTTTTCTCCGGATCTGTGGCCACCCCGTCCGCACTAACAATATGCCCCAAGTATCGAACGGAGTGTTGCAGTAGGTGACATTTTTTTGGCTTGAATTTCAAATTAGCAGAACGCATCCTGGTGAATACAGCCTCCAACCGCAGTAAATGCTCATCAAATGTGCGGCTGAAGACGATAATATCGTCTAAATATATCAAACATGTCTCCCACTGCAACCCCGTTAATACCAACTCCATCAACCTCTGAAAAGTGGCAGGGGCCGCATTCAACCCCATCGGAAGACAGTTAAATTGGAATAACCCCTGCGGCGTACGGAAAGCAGTCTTTTCTCTCGAGGGCTCGTCAAGGGGGAGCTGCCAGAAGCCCGAAGAGAGATCTAGCGTTGAAAAGAACTTGGCCCCCGACAAGGCGTCGAGAGAATCGTCCATACGCGGCAGGGGGTACGCATCTGCTACCGACACTTTATTCAACTTACGAAAATCGACACAAAATCGCAATTTGCCATCCTTCTTTTTAACCAACACAACAGGCGCGCCCCATGGGCTGTTAGACGGAGATATTATGTCCGCTTTCAACATGTCATCCACTGCCCCTCGAACATGCTCTCGCTCAGCCGGACTCATCCGACGCGAGTTTAAGCGAATAGGGGCAGCGTCCCCCGTGTCGATATGATGATAAAGCAGCGAGGTGCGTCCCAAGTCCAAATCATCGGAGCTAAACACATCCGAATAACTCGATAATAATTTGAATCGCACAACGCTGTTCGCCGGAAAGGGCTGAATTCTCCCCACACAATTCAGCGATCCAACGATCATCCACCGCTCCATCGTGTGAAACACCAGCCACCAGCCCCCCGTTGGGCAGATCACTCTGAGCCGTAAACGCCGTAGTGGCATGTGCCACAACGGTACCAGCCGGCACACACACGCTTTCAGTACTCGCATTAAGCACCTGCAAAAATGGCCGCTGATCTGGCCGAACAATAGTTTGCGCCCCCACCAGCGCCAATCCGCCCGTAATAGCGGCGGACGGCGACAGCAAAACCCCAAAAGCTCCCTGCCGACCAGGCACCGGCTTCCGATATTGTAAGGGAATAAGCATCTGCGAGCCAGGTGGAATATCAACAGAAACTTCCGATAACGCTTGCACCTGGGCGACAGGAGCAGGTCGCCCCCAGGCGGACGGTAAAAATGCCATTTTACGGCCCCCCGGTAATTCAATGCAGTTTTCATTGATTCGAATTAGAATGGGCATTGTGGCCAAAAAATCGGTACCCAACAGGCAAGGAACCGCAAGGGACCTCGAAATTAACACGATTCCCGAGGCCGACACTCCCCCGATAGATATGTTAGCGTCCACCTGGCCCACGATGCCCATGCTACCCCCGTTCGCAGCGACGCAGGAAGCGTAAGCTGGCCTCACGGCCCCCGGTGGGATGTTCAAAAGGTGGAATATCACATCCGAAATGATGGTCGCGGACGCACCGGAATCCACCAAAATACGCACGTCCACCCCTTGGATCAACCCGGGTACAGTGGACGAACCGGTAGCGGCCGCGACAACCCGCCGAGCCAGCTTGCGCCACTGCGTTACCGAGCGACAAGGCGCAGATAATGGCCTCCCGTATTCAACAACATCCGCGTCGCACAACAACGGCGATGAGTGAGGTGTCAGGCCTTGCCGGGTGTCTGGTGCGCACCGACTTGCCTGTGCTGTAGGATCTTTCTTGGGAGCATCCGCTGTCGAGGCCTCCTGCTGGGGCGGACCCGGAACGCGGGCCCAGCAGTCCCTGGCATAATAGCCCCGACGCCCGCAGCGGAAGCACTCGACCTCGTTGCGGCGCGCAGCGGGCACCCCGTCCCGACGCGGCCGTACCGGCGGCGCAGCCCGCGGCCCCGGCCCACCCCGGGCCGGCCACGGAGCAGAGGCAGCTGACAGCTCCTGCTGGCTGCTCCCATCCGGCACGTACACGGCCTTTTTAGGGTCCCACCCTAAGGCACCCCCCTCGACGACAGGACCACCTGTCCACGCCGTGACTTGTTTCCAGCGGCGAAGGTTAAACTGGGCGTCCAGACACTTGGCCGCGGCCCGGGACGTGAGCTTTTCGTGACCGCACACCGGCATAGGAATGCCGAGATCTCGGGACAACTCCAACATTTTCCCCAGGATGAGAGGTTCCAGCAGGTCAGGCTCCGTCTCCGGGTAAGCGGCCATAGCAAGTTCCAACACGGCGCCCCTATACGCTACCGGTGACTCCTCGGGTGCGCGTTGTCGTTGCACGAACCGGCGATGGGCGTCATCCGGCGGCTCGTACGCGTCCGCCATTTCGTCGAACACCCCTCGCAGCTGTTATAGAGCGAAAAAAACGAACGGACTCATCATCAAGAAGAGTCGGAAGCACCTCCAGTGCCTCGGCGTCCGTCCACCTCGCTGTGCGTACCGCTGCCAAAAATCTACAGGCGAACGCACTCCAATCGCCACCGATGGAGAATTCCTTGACAGTTGTTAAGTGACGACTGCGACTCCTTGGCCTGCTTCCTTCAGCCGCTGACTCCTCCGGTGGCAAATTCAACATGGCGTCGCAACGCGGTGTCGACAAGATGGCGGCAGACCGTCGCGGCGGTCCCAAAATGGCGGCTTCCCGCTTTTTGTCGTGCGCCACACCCAAGATGGCGTCTTCGTGCCGTGTGGCCGATGGCGGCGCCATCGAAGACGACCCGGGCTCCTGCTGACCACCAACGTCTCCTCCCGACGCCGCCCTTGGCATGACAAGGTCACACAACTGCGTAATAACGTTCTTAAGAGTTACGAGTTGCTCCGCCATCTGGGTCCATCTTGAATCCGCGTCGTTTGGAGCAGACGGGTCCGCCGACACGACGACATCTTGGACCCCCGGACCCGCACTCATCCCAGCACGGATCTCTTCTTCTGCCAGAGTCAGGCCGATTTCAGGAGGAAGATCTTCGTCGTCGGAAGATGAAGCCGATGCCGGAGACGGAATATTCTTTTTTCTGAGTTGTTTCGCCATGCCGTTTCACTTCTGACTCCAGTGTAATAAAAGACTCGGACGCTTCTCTCTGACTCCGTGTCCTTTATTTGGGTTCTTCGTAATTACCCTCACGGCACTCTCTTAGAGATACTCTGCTTGCAGCCCCCGGCTGCTATCACTATTGTAGCCTCCTTCCTCTCCTTGCAGACTCGCTGCTAACTCCGTGTGCAGACTCCCGCTGCCAACTCCGTATGCAGACCCCCGCTGCCAACTCCGTGTGCAGACTCCCGCTGCCAACTCCGTGTGCAGACCCCCCGCTGCCACCTGCAGCCTCCTCGCTGCTCCGGGTCGGTCACCGTTGGCCGACGGTGCCGAACCTCGTTCCCCGCATACGTGGCGATCTCGCCACTCTCCCGCTCTCGCCCTACGTGGCCTACCTCGTTCTTAGTCTCCCGTCACTCCCCCTCCTCTTCCGGTTTCTCTCCCTATAGACCTGACCCCTCTCCCCCACGTGACCTAACTCCTCCCCTCATGACGTCACCTCCGGGAGGTCGTTCACGCCCGCATTACACATGCACAAAGGCACTACTTGAACATACGGTCAATCGCCTAAATTCAACCACTTGATCCCCTGCACTCGCATAGTCACTCACATTTGTCCACTATCACACACTCCTTCACATGTCGCTCACATAAGTGAGTGATGACTGGGGATGGAGTTAGGTGACTGATGGTGAGTGCTGTAGTGAGCTATGTATGGGGCTGTTGATGATGAGCCAAAGTGATCGATGATGGCGATGAGTGGTATCTATATGTTCAGTGATGTGTGCCACTTTGCGGTCATCCACTTAACCTCCACCAATGGCTGGACATCCGTGCCATCGTCCGTGTGTGTGAGCATTGTCTTGGGGTATCCTTGATCTCCCCTGTTATTCAGCACATAAGGAAACACAAAGACAAAGATCCCCTCTCTTTGGTTCTTTCGGTAAAGTCACGTAGGTATAAAATAAAATAAATCACGACGTTTCGGGCGCAACACAAGCGTCCATCATCAGGTGAGAAAGCATGGTCTGCTGCTGAGGCAGACTGTTTTAAAAGGTGTGAAATGGGTGTAGCCCAAGGGTCATAAAGAAGTGGCCGGGGCGAGTGATGTTAATGTGAGAAATTAGCATGTAAATGTAAGCTAGGAGAGCGGCCTCCTTGACGAGGGCACGGAAGTGGCTATGTTAATGCTAATTTCTCACATTAACATCACTAGCCCCGTCCACTTCTTTATGACCCTTGGCCTACACCCATTTCAAACCTTTTAAACAGTCTGCCTCAGCAGCAGACCGTGCTTTCCCACCTGATGACGGACGCTTGTGTTGCTCCCGAAACGTCGAACCAAAGAGATGGATTCCTGCAGTCACGAAAGCTTCAAATCAAAGATCCCCTGTATTTCCTTAACCAGCCTGTTGGGGCAAGTGCTATTAGCGGGCACACGAAGAGAGTGGGTGGCCAGAACTACGTCCGGCTGACTCCGTCTCCCCAGTGACCAATTCTTGCCTCCAAAGCGCTGGATCACTGCCAGCCGATTTGGACGAATGACCAATTGAGGGAACAGCTGACGGGGAGCAGGTGGCCAGGGTGGGTTGATGAACGGTCAGCTGGATGAGTTCTGAACATGCTGCAGGTTGGTGTGTAGAGACAAGGGTGAAAGGGTGACTGATAATAACAAAATGTTAAAGCTGCCTTCTGTTTACCTTACTGAGTCTCAAGTCGTCAAGCGGGTATCGTGTACAATGCACTAGAAACCAGTTCTGAACCGTCCCACTGGTGGCGAGAGGCTGCCGACTTAGGGACGTTTTCCCCAGCTCCAATTCCGAGTTGGGCCAACTGTAAGAAGGGAGAACGCGTACTCGAACTTGGGCCGGCCGCGACCGTTTTACCAGTGGTCGAGATCCTCCCGCGAACTCAGGGAGGCCAGCTCGGGGCGTTGGGAGTCGGACACGGTGAGGGTCTGGAAGTACGGGGACGCCCGCCGCGGGCGACTGCCAAACGGGACGCCGGATCGCTGCGAGACAACAACGACAACAAGGGAGGACGATGATGAGGGTGACAGGTACGAGCAGCAGCGGCAACAACCGCGACAGAAACAACTGAGGGGCATCGGCGCTCGTGTAGCAGATAGCGCACCACGCTTTGGACCCAGCGAGCCGTGTTCGAGTCAATCTCGCGGTTAAGAATGGCGACAGCAAACATCATAACCAATTTTCCATCTTCCTCGTCATGATCACCTGGCTTATAATAGTTGCGCATTTAAAAATGTACCAACTTACTTAGATTCAGATGTATACGAGAACCTGGTGTGGTGTGTAGTGAATGTCAGCACGGGGGAGATGAAGGCGGCCGGCCGTGGCGCTGGCCAAACCACCTCCCTTGTGTGCAGTGCCATCCTTCATAGGTGCTCACTAATAGCACTTGAACCAACATTCTGTATAGGCTACAAGACCTTAGTCTTTATGCGTGTACATGTGTGCAATTGTGCACGTGTGTGCAAGTGTGTAAATGTACAAGTGTGCACGTATACAATGGAGCATTTGTAGAGAGTGGAAAGTGGAGTTTTCCATATCTGGGCAGTGTGCTTATTACCAGCTGCAATTTGACAGCAGAGGTCTCACTCTGAATCAGTCAGACGGCATTCTCTATTGGTCGGCTGTGTAATGCTGTGTGGAAGCTACCTGGTCTGTCGCTCCAGACGAAGCTTCGGATCGTTTCAGCCACAGCCATGCCCTGCCTTCTCTGTGCTTGTGAAATGTGGACCCCCCTAATGTAACATCTGCGCCGGTTAGAAACATTCAAGCTGGCCTGCCTACGGTTCATCCTTGGTTTAACTAGGCTGGATTGTGTGAGCTCACAAATTCTTAAATCAAAGAGCTCCTCCGGCAGGCAGCATTGCATTCGCTGGGTCATGTAGCCCACATGCGCCACCACCACATGCCCAAGCTCTTTCTGTTTGTCCAGATAGAGGGGGCTAAAAGGGCAACGGGCTGGAGAAGAGATGGACTGATGCAGTACGGGAGGATATAGAGCTGAATGGACTTGCCGAAGACTGGTACCAGCGGTGTTAAGATTTGCCTCTATGGAGGAGGCTTGTGAAAGACGTTACTGGGTAGTTGGAGGCAGTCGTCCTAAACAACATCTCAGGGCAGAGGAGCGACGCTCACAACAATGAACGAAGCGCTGGGCAGCTAAAATGCAGCAAGTTTACACAGTAAGGGACACAGTCATCTCAGTCAACCCATGGCACCTGGGTCTGTCCCGTGACCTCGTGTCAGTGAACCTTCGACACTTCACGTGGCCTCAAAGTGCACCTAGCCTGGCACAGGCGCCGTGGTGACATCACCAGCACTTAGTGGGGAATGGCGGCTGTTGTTGAGTGTACATGTGTGTATGAGTGTGTAAGTGTACATGTGTATGAGTGTGTACATGTGTGTGCATGTATAATATTTGGCCGTGATGCGGCCAAGCGGTAGTGCTGTATTAACCGTAGTACTAGTAATAATAATACTGTGGTGTGGTAGTAATGGTAGTGCTAATAATAACACTACGGTGTGGTAGTAACCACAGTAGTTATAATAATAACACTTGACTTAAAGATTTCGTGACTGCAGGAATTCATATTCTTTGGGTCTTTCGGTAAAGCCACGTAGATAGAAAAATAATAATAAAAATAATAATAATATCACGACGTTTCGATCGCAACACAAGCAAGCGTCATCAGGTGAAAAATATAGCGGGAGAGCTGCTGAGGCAGGAAAAATATATATGGCGGGAGCACTACTAAGGCAGCGAGTTATAAAGGTTTGAGATGGGTGTAGCCCAAGGGTCAGTGGGTGGGGCTAGAGATTAAATTTGCATGTAAATGTCATGTTGTGTATATACCCCTTTTTTAGATTAATATTAAGAATTATTCTGCCAACATATATAATACATTTTTTTTAATAGACACGGGGCAACTTGGAAGCGAACAAAGACGAACAAAAACCCGTTTTCCAACTGGCGTGCACACCACGCTTCAAAGGCCAGAAAGCATGAAAGAGAGGGCAATAAAATGTCATAAAGTCCACACAAGAACAAAAGGGGGGGGGGGGGAAGTCGCAAAGGGTTATTAGGATAACACCTATTCCTTCAAAGGCCCTTTTACAATACAAAACCAGGCCACGAAACATATATAATTATATTCTCAACAAAGAAATAACATTGACAACAAGAAGCACAGACGGGTTTGAATCCTCATGTATTAATTCCATGCGGACATTAGGTACCCTTAATAATTTCTACGCGGCCGGACCGAAGCATCAAAGAATAATTATGGCAGTCAGGGTCGCTCCTAAAAAAATAAATAAAAACAAATTCCCTAGCCCGGGATATCAGATTAAATAATAGCAAGAAGCCAAATAATAAGTACGAAATTAAAGTGGATCTCCTAGGAGAGTTAAGGGCGGAGAAGTCTATCATAATTAACCAACACGCAACACTCCATGGAAAGCGAGCAGCTCACAGCCGTCTTTGTCTTCCCGAGAGGATCTCCACGGAGCACACACACACAAGCCAGGAAATGACCCTCATAAAGGTCGGGGCAACAGCTCAGAAAGGAAATTAACACATGCCTCCAAAGATAAATAAATAAACACACGTCAGGGTGCTCCAATGACGCAGCACAGCCGTCTTTGTCTCCCCGCAGCACGGACAGCAAGATTTTCGCACGCGAAGCAAATAACATTTCCCATAGGGAGATCAAATCACGATGAAATACCGTGAACACGGCTACGACATGCATGGAGTCACTTACAATCAAATCACAATGAAACTAAGCAGCAAATAAGTCGCATTTCAACTTCCAAACCAAAAACAACTTAAGCTGTGTGAGACAAAGGATATAACGCCCAGAGCGAGGGAGGGGATCATTAAGCTTGCTTAACGCATAGGTTTTCGCGACAAATATTATTCATAATCAAAAACGTGGATTATGATTTTTATAACTCGGTGCGAACGCGAATCGTCGGTCTGATTAATGGATAACTTATGTGACGCCAGTTCGCGAGGAAGCCCACCCCTCCTTCCAGAATGATTACACAGCTGTGTCTTCAAAGCTAATAAACACACGGACGGACACGCACATGACACACACGGACGAAACGCACACAACAAAGGAAAAGTTACATGACCCGGCCTTTGAACAACTCGGGAAAACTGAGTGGATTTTCCCGATATAAGCCGAGGAAAAATCCATTCACCACAGATCTCCAGGGCTTCGGGCCCACCACAGATCTCCACGGGGCTTCGGCCTCCATCTCCTCTCAACGCTGACAACGAACGAAGCATCGTTCATCGCCAGAGCGCTCCAAGCCAGTGAGCGCGCAAAGCCGCGTCGTCCAGAGCCTGAGCAACACCGCCTGAAATAAGGGCGAGTGTCCGCGTGAAGTTGACAGCGATCAAGGAGGGAGCGACGGCGAGCATCGTGCCGACTCAACAATCGTCCAGCAGTGGAGAAGCCGGGGGCTGCCACCAAGAGAGAGAAAGAGCTATCGAATGCGCAGTGTGTTTGATACACACACCGACCAACACCCAGTGAGAACAGACAAGACGTCCAGAGCGACGGCGAGCATCGTGCCGACTCAACAATCGTCCAGCAGTGGAGAAGCCGGGGGCTGCCACCAAGAGAGAGAAGGAGCTATCGAATGCGCAGTGTGTTTGATACACACACTGATCACACCCAGTGAGAACAGACAAGACGTCCAGAGCGACGGCGAGCATCGTGCCGACTCAACAATCGTCCAGCAGTGGAGAAGCCGGGGGCTGCCACCAAGAGAGAGAAGGAGCTATCGAATGCGCAGTGTGTTTGATACACACACTGATCAACACCCAGTGAGAACAGACAAGACGTCCAGAGCGACGGCGAGCATCGTGCCGACTCAACAATCGTCCAGCAGTGGAGAAGCCGGGGGCTGCCACCAAGAGAGAGAAGGAGCTATCGAATGCGCAGTGTGTTTGATACACACACTGATCAACACCCAGTGAGAACAGACAAGACGTCCAGAGCGACGGCGAGCATCGTGCCGACTCAACAATCGTCCAGCAGTGGAGAAAGAGAGTCAAAGCCTTCCGAACGAGCGCGGCCGCGCCGTCAGTCACCGTACGGGGTCAGCCGAGGGAGGAGTCGGAAAGCGAGCCGCTCACCGCAGCCCGCTCAAGCCAGAGGGTCCTTCTCCGAAAGTCGTTCGTACCCACAACTTCCCCCACTCATAGACCCACACACGCACGCATCGACGCCTCACTTACCTATGAGACTATCTGTTTCACCCATACCATCGTATCAACCCTAGTCAATTATCAGAAGACTGATTATCAATTACATGAACCATCAGCTGGCCATGAGGAATCGTGGCCCATCGAGTGATTAAGAGTCCGTCGGTTATAAGAGTGAGGTTATTTTCCTTGCCTTTTTTCAATCCTTTATATTAAGTTCGCTTGCTTGCGTGCGTGCTTGCGTGCGTGCTTGCTTGCTTACGACCGTGCAAATCTTTCGGTCGTTTTTTAACCCACTTCCCGTGATCCAATCGAGCTGACATTTTCCACACAGACTCGTTGTGCGAGACAATTAATGTTCGTGAAAAAAAATTCCCAAAATTTTACACTAAAATTTTTTTATTTTACATATATTCAAATAGAACTCATTCATGGCTTTGGCTGAACGTCACAGTGTAAGAGCCCAGAGCGTAACCCCTCCACATGCCGTGGCGGAGTAGCGCAGTTGGTAGCGCCCTCGCTTCCCATGCCAAAGGTCGCGGGATCGATCCCCGCGTCCTCCACAGGCGAATTTATTTTTAAATCCTTTATATTAAGTTCGCTTGCTTGCTTAGGACCGTGCAAATCTTTCGCTCGTTTTTTAACCCACTTCCCGTGATCCAATCGAGCTGACATTTTCCACACAGACTCGTTGTGTGTGACAAATAATTTTCGTGAAAAAAAAAATTCCAAAATTTTACACTGTTTAGGGAAAACAAATTA